CAGCGATTTCAGAGGATGTGGCAAAGTTTTAAAAATAAAACTAATCTTAATTCTGCCTAATTTAAAAATAAGTATGTAGCATGGCACCTCAAACCATCGCCATTTAGGCTTTATGTGGCAATCTTTTGCAAAATCTGGAAATTTTGACAAGTTAGAGCATAATACCATTTTCAGCAGAAGCTTTAACATCAGAAGAGTAACTCTTTATATGTGATTTATCATTTTCAAAGGACTTTCCACATACATTTTCTGATCTGTTGCTTGCACCAACCCCATAAGCCAGGCTGTATTATTTTTCATCCACTTTTTAGGAAACAAAGGCTTAAAGAGATTAAGTGACTCACGACCACCGGCTAACCAGCCAAGGCGGAATTCTAGCCTGCTTCTCTAGTTGTTATTCCTGTATCATTTCCAAACTCTGACTCTCCACGAACAGCAAACCAAAGAGGGGGGAAATCTAGGGAGAAAAAGAAATGCTACAGAGATAGCTGGAAGCAGATTGGAGGACTGTTGTGTGGAGTGGTTCTTTAATAATCCTTTTTCATTGGGACAAATCTAAGAAGGGCAGAACCCCACCCTGGCCACTGACGCATGCAACTATGACACTCAAAGGGAAGAAAAATGCTAGGCTGGCTAGTGCAGTGCTCTGAGGAGACTCCACCCCATAATTCACCTTGTCTTCTAATGGACGAGGGCATCTGTGTCCCTTCTTTGAGCTGTGACTGTTGTGTCATCCGGGAAATTCCAGCTCCTGTCGCTGCTGTGGCTGTGGTGGTATCAGGGATCCCTTCACTGTTGCTTCAGGAATTCCTTAGGAGAGTGTACTAGAAACAATTAGTTTCAGATGCTCAAGAGGAGATACTTCTAGTGGTCCTGCTGCTGACAAGACACCAGGGGGCAGTTTTCAGGACTCAGCAGCAACATGATGTTTTATTAGGCCCCTGTGTTATGGCCTCATAAGATCCCAGTCTGATAGTGGTGTATACAAGAAACCACCGATCTTAAGGGGATCTTGCTTAAGACTGAGTAGTATAGTGAGTCACTTGATACATGAGGCCGGTGACTCAGAGTAAAAAGCTACTACAGTGGTGTCCACATACGGCTGCACATTAGAATCATCTGGAGAACTTTTATGATCCCAATTACCAAGTCACCCCATGCAAACCCAATCACAATGTCTGTGGTGAGAACCAAGTACCACTATTTTTTTAAAGACACCCTGTCTGGTTTCGATGTGCAGTAAAGTTTGCAGTTAATGGGCTAGCTAATGATTTGTCCGGAACCTACCATGATTCAACTCCATTGTTTTTAGCTAAAACTGACCATTGCCTTAAAGATGAAGGATGAAGAGACACACTGTCTTTTACAGTTACTCTTTAAGGTGAATATGGGAGTGCCAGTTCACCAGGGGAGAATGAATGTGTTTCCATTTGGCCTTGTTAAATGTGGAAGGAGGCCTTCCAGTGGTGCTCACGCTAGCTGTTGAACATGTAGTGACATTCACTCAGCAAGTATCTGCAGAGGGCCTACTGTGTACAGGCATCATCCTGGGCTGTGTCAGTTGATAAATAGTGAAAAAGGAACATCAAGAGTTTTGTCCTTCCAGAGCTTATCAGCTGAGGAGGGACCCAAAGACATAATTCAGTGATTCCAACACTTTAGGGTTAAGATCGTTGAGAAAACTTACTTTATTCATTTGCACTGGGCCTTATTTCTTCAGGACGATTTGTGGCAGCAAACACACATAATGAAGTTGTTAGAATATAAATAAGAAACAGAAATTAAGACTAGGGAAAATATAAATAAGAGTGGAGAGTCAATAACAGAAGAAGAAAAATTCATAATTATGCAAGTCATAACAATCCACTTGGGCTGAACTCAAATTTGGCATTAAGTGTCCTGGCAGCCATATTGAGATGGGAACTATGGTTAGTTATAAAATTCTAATTGTCAGAAAGACAAAAAAATACCGGTTCCTCAGGGAAGGAAAGGCTTTCCTAAGTCTTGGCTCTTGAGAAAATGTCTCATGTGGAGCTCCATACAGTCTCCAACAATATTCCTGTAGTGACTGCAAAAATGGATCTTATAACCACCAGTGCCCTACAGACCCTGCAGTGAAAGTGAGGATATAAAACTAAAATGCAATTTAATAAATCCATTTGTGTCTTGAGTTGGTGACCAGAAGTAAGTTGATTCAGGCCAAATATATGTCCAGATAAACCTATGGCTGAAAGCTGGAATACCTGGGAGACACCCTTATAATAGTCTTCATAATTTCCCTCTACTGGGATTTCAATAGGGCATATGGTTATATTTTTGACATTCTGGGGTAGAGTTGACAGGTACATATTCCATGTTGTGGATAATGGAATGGTTTATATCAGGGGTCACCATTGTCTGTAAAGGGCCAGGTAGTCATTACTTTAACCCTTGTGGGCCAGTCTCTGTCATAATAGTTGAGCTTTGCAGTCAGCACATGAGCACAGACAACACATGAGTGAATGGGTGTGGCTGTATTCCAGTGAAACTCGATTTATAAAAACAGGTGGCTGGTCAAATCTGGCTGACATACTGTTTTACCAACCCCTAGTTTAACCTAAAAGAATTTTAAAAAGCAAAGTTTATCATCGGTATTCTTTTGTTGGAATTATGGAATGTTTAGAAACTTGGCAAGTCTTGGTCAGTGGTGACTTTGGCCTCATAATTTAGTTGATAGTAGGTGATGATACATGCTGGAGAGAACATGGCTTGTGTTCAGGTTGCAAACTCATTAGGTTCATTGGAGGAACAGGCAGACCCCAAAGCAATCCAGTAAAACTATTCATACATCCAAGTGGCACTCAACAGACAGGGAACTTAGGGTTGTTGCAGCCAGAGCTGGGCTGGGCCTGAGCATTTTTGTTCCATGTGGAGAAGGAGAATTGTTATGTTCCTCACCTGGAGGTCTCACAAAGCAATATGGATTCTCTGTTAAGATCTCATGGTTCCTTAGGAGAGAGAGAAGACATTGGATTACTTCCAGCAGGCTGATGTGTGCTATTCACTCCTTTATCATCTTTTCAAGTGCAAAATCTATTCTAGACTACCCAATGTAGATTCTAACCAACCTTCCATGAGTACAGCCAAAGATGTGGCTGCCCTCAGGAAAAAATATAACATGATTTCACTGTAAAAAGGGCTTAGCTATGAGCAGGTAATACATATTGATGGTTTATCATGGCCTGAATTCTTAAATACCCTCCACCGGTCATAAACTAATCTGGGAAGTTAATTGTATAATGAAGCTAGCTATCTCAAAGATTAAATCTGGGAGGTCGGCAGAAGAGGTGGCATCAAGTGATTTAGTATCTGCAATAATAGGTGGTTTAGGGTTTCAGCCGTAGAGCTGGTAAAAACATGGCTGTGAATACAGTGGTGGAATCAACCTTTGGGGCTTCATTGTCAGTCTGAACAGAATTTGGTGTACCATACTCTCTGGGTAGTAGGAAATAGGTTTGTTTGCTCCATTTGGAATGTCCTAACTATTCACTTCAGCAGCATAAGGTAGTTAAGAGAATAGTTTTATTCATTATAATAGAATAGTCCAGGCTTATGGAGCACAAATACTCTTTAACTTCCTATATCCAGGGCTTAGCCCAGTATCACAACATAAGGGTCACTCTAAAATGTGTGCCCAGTGAATGAATCCTGGACGATATCATCCTGTTTACAAGGCTAGTGTCACAGAGTGATGGGTTGCCAGGAAGGGACATGGCTCCTTTTTATGACACAAATTGTGGCAGACACTAGACTACTCCAAAAGAGACTAAGCTTTCTGTTTTGGGATTGGAACAAAATATGCCTGCAGAACTTAAAAAGCAGAAAACCACTCAGGTGGAATCACAGTGTTCCCCAGCTGCTATTTCCAGATGGGGGTTGGGGTAAGGGACTGGCAGTCAGATTTATATGACATGTATGAATATTTCAAATCATGGCTTGTTCTTAACAAGCAGGAGTTGAGACCTGAGAAATTTCAAGGATAAATTTCTTTGGGAAAATGTCTGATATCAAAGTTGCCTGTGACTTTGACTTCTTCAGAAATAGCAAGTGACCAGACATCTTATATTGTTCCTTGCTTTCTCTCCTCTGGCCCCTGCCAATAGGCTCACGTATGACAATGACTTTATCAGTTGTTGTAAGAAAACAAATTTCCTTCAACAGAAGTCATAACAGAAGTTATGATCTTATGGTTATATTTTTAAAAATATCAAGGCCACTAATGAGAAAACATGCATAGAGAATGGGGATGTTCTGAGCCAAAATCAAATCCTGGGTGGCCATGGGAGGTGCTACCGCAGCTCTGGCTCCACCCCACCCTGTGGCCAGGTCTTACGAGTGAGAAGGAAGGAGACAACCAGGAGGATGGGGACGTGTACAGAAACCCTGAGAACCCAGTGGAAGCTCCAGCCCTGAGCATTTTATTGAAGGATTCCACTGCTACCAGAAGAACGTGGGAACAAGGACAGAAACAAAGAGGAGGTGAACTTAAAGCAAAGTCTAACATCACATGGGGGTAGCTTTAACACAGGTAATTCGTCTTACTGTAAGAGATAAATTGCTTACCCAGTCACATCCAGCAGGTTCCCAAGGGACAAATTTGACTCCAGGGACATTTATTAAATACCATCCCATCCCTGTTACCTCCACCTTTTCTGATTCCCACATCACCAGACCAAGGGAACTTGAGCATCTATTCATAGTTTTGCTCCTAACACCCCCCCCCACATTAACCACAAGGCAGCAGAAATAGAATGGAGACAAATACATAACCTTAAGCAGCTTTAGCTTCTAGGTTCACCTCGCTGTCCTGCTTGGTGTAGGGGGAGAGCCAATTATAAGTTGTCATGATGCCAAGCATCTTTGGGTCCTAGGAATGTGTCTGATCTCCAAAGCCAGTATTCATTATTTTTGCCTGTGCATTCATTTCTTCCCTGATCCATCCTGGACATTCTTGCTCTCAGGGCCTGAGGATCATTTTCTCCGACGCATCGCGGCTCATCTTCCGGCTCAGTTCCTCCAGCGGCGTGCGGGCCACCATCAGACTGTATGCAGAAAGCTACGAGAGGGACCCCAGCGGCCACGACCGGGAGCCCCAGGTACCACGGCAGAGCTGCGCTCTCCGCACTGTGTCATCTTACCTCTCCTGGCAAATGTAGGGAGCTGCTGAGGGCCTTTGGTCAGGGTGATTTTACTTTCTAGAAAGGAGCACTGATAGCTCCAGCTGAAGGACAAGCTTAGAGTGACTCCAGACAAATTTAACTCATTCATTGCAGTGTTTGAAACAGAAAAATTGCTCTCTGGCATCTGTGATGAGTTTAGATCAGCATTTCCCAAACCACTTGCCTCTCGTGACTGTCCTGCAGTTTGCTGATTGTGGTGACCTTGAGGGAGGCACCTTGTATAGGTAAGTGAAGGACATTTTGCATTAGTGGCAAGCTGGCCAAACTCTTCAGAGCCTCGACTGTACTCATATAAATGATGAATTTGCAAGTGTTTGGAAAACTCTGGGTTGGACCATGACCTTGAAGTGCCAGTACAAATACTACCCTGGGTTTCTTCTCCGAGTTGCTGCAGAGCCCACTTGTAGGGAGGGGCCATGGCTGGTCTGAAGTTAAAGTTAAGGGAGGGCACTGACAAAGCCAGGCTAGCCTGTGTTTGGCACAGCTCCCCCAAGTTGTCAATGCAGAGCTAATTAAAAACTCACTTAAAAAAGCAAGAGCACAACCATATCCCCACTCTCATATCTGCTAAAGCTCCAGGCAACATTAATTAACACCAGAAAGCACCCGCTATCGTGTCGGGCACTTCCAGCTACACTGCTGGCTGCCTCTGCCCCCGCTGGTCTCTAGTTCAACCTGGGTTTTAAGGCAGAGTCTTGATGAGACGATTCCTCGAGATGAAAACATTGGTTCCACATGCAATGCTTCTATTGTGGAGAAATAAAAGAAAAGAAAAACTCACTGCTTCTCAGTTTAGAATCACCCAGAATTTTCGGTTATAATTTGCCAAAGTTGTGGCATGGATGGCGTAAGGTACCAGGGAGGGTTATCTTTCTTTGTCAGTAGTTTAGTGTTTTTAGGTTTTGATTTTTTTTTTAATGGTTTCTTTCTTTGAAGAGTCTCAAAATACTTGATAAAATGGTACCATAGATCCTTACCCCTGACCCTGTCACCAGTTGTCTGGAGTAAAATTATCCCAGATGGGGAAGTAGAGGCCTGCAAGGCCAGGGGCTGTGGTCAGGGTCACCGAGAGTGTGAAGGGGCAGAGCATGAGGCCAGCATCGAGTCCTTGGCCTTTCCTTCTCAGGATCACAGGCATTCCCTGCAGGGATGTGCCAAACTCTGCCAACATAATTTGTTAGTGAGTACATTTCACCCAAGATAGTACCAAATTATGCAAGAATTGGAGGCTAACCCCCTCTTTCCATATGAAACTCTTCTAACATCTCATCTTGGGAAGCCAGATTAAAGCAAGGGCCTGAAAGTCCAGAGCTACGTACAGGGTGAGGAATGACATTCCTGGCCTCACCAGCTCTGACTCATTCTGACTTGAGGCTATTTTTTTCTCAGCATTCTTTTCCCTATTTGCATGGGGTAAGTGGCTGTGATATTTGCTTATTTTTATTTACCTATGTACTGACTGCAGAAGTATGATGCCCAGGCCATCAAACATGTGTAAAAAGAATCCTAGGTACATAAGAGTCTCTCCCTGAGGTGGTCCCCAAAAGGCAAGTGGTGCCACTTTTTAAAAAAGACTTCCTTTGAAGCTGAAAACCACCACAAGTCTGCTGCTAGAGGGTTGTGTGATAAGTACATACTTCGATCTGTGGGTAAAAACAAAAGTAATGCTTGTTATAGTCACCGTGTGGATTTCCCATCCTGTTGGTCTAGAAAGTTTGCCATTTTGAATGGTTGGGAAATCCCTTCATTGATAAAGCTCTTCTGATCACTGATACTCCCTCCCTTCCAAATCATAAGGGAGGGTTTTCCCAGACCTAGCTAGGTGGGCCACGGAATATTTAGTTTATGATCTAGCTAAAAATTTTAGATTAAAATAGAACTCCTTATTCAACTACCAGACATCATTGACTCACCAACTTAAAGCCAAATTTATTGTGTAATACATTTCAGTCCAGATACAAGTTAAAGTGAGATTTTAAAAGGCATCTAAACCCCTGAGGAGAAGGAAGCAGCATCTCTGAGCAAGCCCACGCTCTCAGTTACTGCTGAGCTGTACCTAGGCATGCAGCCTGAACCACTGGGGGCCTCCTTCCAGCACAGCTTTCCAGGACCACCTGCTTCTGCCTTCCAAGAGCTCTAGAAGGAAAAGCCTTTGGTTCACAGTTAACAGAGATTAAAAAAACAAGGCCCGCTCCTCAAGCTGCTAATGTTATTACTGGTCCAGGGCCTGGCAGGGCAACACCAGCTTGTGACGCTTTCTCAGCTGCAGAGACCTTTCCCACCCTTTTTAGCTTATTCCAATTTACAGTCCAGGAAGCAGAGAACAGACCCCCACCCTCCCCGACCCCTACACTATCTCTTGCACTCAGAAACCCAGTAAAGTATCTCTTTAATCTTTAGAGATTCCATTGATAATCTGATTCCAAGTCAACAGGTATTTTTTGTTTTTTTTCCCACCCCCAACTCAATACCCATCCACACTCAAGTTATTTAACAAGAAGACTCCCTTCTGATTGCTGTTTACTAAGAGTTCCCTTCCACTGTCTCGTCGGCATCTGGCTCTTTGCCTTTGCCCGTAGATAGTTTCTTTCCCAGACATTTTAAACACATGTGAACATAACCTGTTTTAAACACTAACACTGTGGCTGCCTTGCGGAAGCCTTCATAACTACCCTGGTGAGGCAACTAGGAAGCCTTGTGATGCAGTCTATACGCACGAGGCTCTACTCCTACGTGTAGATTTTCCACTTGGGTCCTTTTGCCTAACAGTGATCATGCTATTTGTTTTAAGCAGATGTAAAATAGTTTCTTATCTACATCAAAAAAGTATTTTTTAAAAGTTCTATTCATATGTACCTGTGAATTGGTGGGGAGGGGAGGAAGGGGAAGGGGAGGGCTCTGACGAGATGAGGAGGTGGTTAGCCTCGCCCTCACCCTGTGCCCTTGGTAAATCAGGAAGGAAAGCTTCCAAGGCCTATTTCTGGAAGATTACATAGCTTTCAAAATACAAGATTACTTTAATTTTACTGGCAATCAGTAGGCCTTCAATGAGCCCTCAAACCAGCTGGTAATAATTTGGGAAAAGGAATGAGCCAAAAGAATTTCAACTCACAGGTAACCAGGAACAGTCCAATTGTTTTCTTTTTCCTTCCCATAGAGTTTATTAGTGGGGCTGCTAGGTTAACTTTTTATTCCCCTTCTTTCCTTGCCCCTTTGAACTTGAGGGTGGAGTAGCTAATGAATAACAAAAGAGCCCAAAGGAAAAGGAAGGAGAAGTTTTGCTAAGGGCCAGGAGAATCACAGACTGATAATCAGCTCTCTGCTAATCAGCAGTTGGCTTTGGTACTTTAGCTGCAGACTAGAACAGTACCCCACCCCACCTAAGCCCTGGAAGGAGCCAGGTTTTCTCCAGCCCTCCTTGGAAATCAAGGGAATTTAAGTATGTATTTCTGATAAGCTATACATACAATACTTTAAACACTAATATCTAAGTACCTGAAGTCTCTCTGCCTTGGATTCATCTGTCAAAAGGAAGGCCATGTAATGTTTTGCTCTACCTGTTCTTATTATGACTTTATAATCCAGAAATATAAAGCACAGAGCCATTTTGTGTTATGTTGCTAGGACATATAATTTATCATCTAAACCATGATACTTCTGAGAGTGGAAGGGGGCACTAACAATAATTGAGTCTGTCCCAGATGGTTGCTCCAGCTACACACCTTCATGCTGTCTTTGATCTGCCCATCTCTTTGGAGAGGAGTTTCTAAGAGCATCAGCAATATAAACCTAGTAGTGTAAACAGAGAGAGCAGGCCAGTAAGGGAAGAGTTAAATCAGTGGTTCTCGTCCAGACTGCACATCGGAACCACTTGGGGCCCTTGGTGAGGACACAGTGCCTGGGCCCACTCCCAGAGATTGACTATAATTATCCTGGGGTGGGCCTGTAGTTTTAAAAATCACCCAGGAGACTTCTGATTAGCTGAATGCATCTCAGATTTTCATGTGTGTATGAATCACCTGAGGATCTTTTTAAACTGCAGACTCTGACTCAGATCTGAGTCAGATCTGTATTTGTAACAAGTCCCTGGGCATATTGTGCTGCTGGTCCAGGAGCCACACTTTGAACAGCAAAGACTTAGATGAACTGGGAAGCCCTAAAAACAGGACATTGAAAAAAACTTTTAGGGAGGAAATTTAACTTTTATTAAAATTTTTTTTTTAACTTTCAGAATCACTTTATTTTTTAAGTTAAAGTGTAGTTGATTGGTCTTGAAATCTAAAACAGTAGAAGAGGCAGTACCTGCTTTCAGTGCCCGTGCCTGTGTGGGCCGCTGCCCTCTAGACTTCCCAGGTCCCGCTGGGCTCCACTTGAATGTCTTCTAGGCATCTCCAACCTGCCATGTGCAAAACTGAGCTCGAGCCAGCACCTTTCTCCCCCACCCCCCAAAATTCTACTTCTTTCAGTACGTGGCAGTTCCATCCTTCCAGTAGGTTCAGCCAGAAACCTAGGATTTATCCTTGACTCTTTTTTTCTTTCTCTCCTACCCCACATCCAATAACACATCCTATCAACACGACCTTCAAAACACAGCCAGAGTCCGATCCCATCTGACCACCTCTACCATTTCTACCCAGGGTCAAGCTGCCATTCTCTCTAGATTATTGCCATATTCCCCATCAGGTCTCTTCCCTTCCACTTCCTGCCCACACCCTAGTCTCAGCACAGCAACCAAAAGAATTTTTTCAAGAAATGTGTTAGATCACTCCTCTGAAATCCTCCAGTGGCTCCCCATCTCACTCAGAGAGGAGCCAAAGCCCTTCCTGTGGCCTTAGATTCTACTGGAAGTGGCCCCCTTCTCCCTCTGAGCTCATCTCCCACTGCTCATCCATTTCCCTCTCCACTCCAGCCATTGT